GCTGCCATGAGGCGCTGCCACGATCATAAAGCCACTATTTATTTCTAATCTATACAACAGTGGCGACTGGCCAATAGAGAGTGCATAGGGCGCCGCCCCACCCACCCAATGACCCTTATTGAGACATACAGAAAATATATATATATATTTACAATTTTATAATTTAGTTTAAAATTAACATCTAAAATATTTTGAAATATATTAATATGTATTTTTTAGATGTGCAAGATACATATTTAATCTTAAATGACTAGTAAAGCGTGATAAAAATGTTTGTTTGATTGGTGATGTATTTCCGCCCCAGGGCGCAAAAATCTTTGCCCAGTGACTCTATTTAAAAGTTGTCCAGCAGGTCCTCTTCAATGCAAAGGTTTAGGAGAGCTCAGGGCACCGCTCTGGTGCTGACAGTAAGTGCATTTGCTCACCACCTCCCGCAACAGTGCAGACATTTTGCAGGTGATTGACAGGACAATGTGGATATATATATATAATATAAATATACTGGTGTGATATCTTAGCGTACCTTTAAATGTTTTTTGGTATATATCTATTTTGAATTTATAGCCCCCCCGGAAAAAACTCCACCAGTCGCTACTGCTATACATCTTCATGTGTTTCTGTGAGCATAGCAATAGTTAGGTATGGAAGACATGAATTCATCTTCATTTTATAAAAGCATGCTGATTAAGGTTCGTTATAACTGTTACAGGAGATACAGATAATGGTTTTTATATTGTGTTTTGATGAGATGGTAATTAAGATTTTATAATAAGTTTTTTGACTATAAAACAGAGAGTGAGAATTTCTGAGTTTACATTATCAATGATGCAGGTTTCTGTTTATATCAGGGGATTATCAGCATATGCTTGTAAAAATAATATCAACAAGAACAACAACAATAAGAATAATAACATTTAAAATTTAACCCATTAAAAAATGGGTTATCATATTTGTGTGATACCCCACATATAATGGGGTATGTGCCATGTGTTGTCAGTAGGGCTGCAATTAACGATTATTTTGCAAATCGATTAATCTGTCGATTATTATTTTGATTATTAATCGGATAGCCAAAGATTCCTTAAAGAAGGTTATTTCACCTAATTAAACGAGGAGAAGCTCAAACTTGTCCCCTTGAATAGTTCTAGATATTGACAGACAATTTTTTGTTTTAATCCTAAATGCAAAATTTTGATATATTTTTTTTACAATATTAGTATACTTACTGGTCTAAGTGGGTTTCTCTGTCAGTTAAAGGCATGCTTTAGAGTCTCTATATTCCAGTTAATGATTAATCAATTACTAATTTATTTGATAATTATTTCAATAATGGATTAATCATGATTAATCTGATTAATTGTTTCAGCCCTAGTTGTCATTTTAATTAAAAAGCTGTTTAACTTCTGAAAAAATCTGAAAATTATAAATAAATGAATAACTTTAATAATCACTGCTGTATTTAACTGTGTATTTGTTCTTTTAGAGAAAGTTTCTAGATGGTAACAGTTTCTTCCACAGAGCTTTGGGATAATTTAGTAAGGCCAGGATATTTCTGTTTAAATTTATAAAAACAAAAAAACTTTTGTCTTTCAACCTTTTTCCTTAGAGTTTATAATTTAGTTATCATTATGTTTTACCAATGGATTATCTTGTGTGGTTAATTGTTGTAAACAATGTTTGACACTCAGTTTTTGTGTTGTGTTGTGTGTGCCTTCCTTTCTGTGTATAAACTCTTGTTGTAGTGTTAGTCTTTAGTTTTTGGGTTCTGCTTGATCCTTTACGACCTTGTTAAGCTCTATTTTCTTGAACTTTCCTCTGCTTGGTTTCTTCCTCAGCGTCATTGAATTTTTAGAATAAAATACCTGCAATTTATACCTGGTTCATCAAATTTTCTTTTACTAAATGATGTAAGTAATAATCAGTGATCGCAATTTGTCCTGAAATAGAACACCCCTTACCCGATTGAGCTGGACACACTTGATTTCCTGCAACCTTCCCTAACTTTTACAAAAGAATGCATTGCAATCAGAGCATGTTTAGACCAAATAGATGGAAACATTGTCAGTGGAGAATGTTCAAGTTGAACATGTGATATCCCTAACATTTAGTGGGTGGTTGTGAGCTCAAGAAAATTGTAATAAAAAAAAAGTTCCATGACAAATCAATCTACTTGCAGAGGAGGTTCTGCAGATTTTCTGTTATTGTATTCTTTCCTACAAGTGATGTGTTTGTTCCACAGTTAATATGTATAGTATATGTGTTGAATTATAGGGGTAATGGTGCATTCTTTGAGAACACAGGGTTAGAAAAAACCCTAACTGCTGCTCAGATCTTAGAATTCTTATGGAACTGCTCTTTCCTAAATTGTAATACTTAGCTTCATAAAACAAGTTTAGGACGGCCATACACACTGATGCATCTGTAGAACCATGTTTATAATGCATTTCAATCACATTTAGGTCAGACATGTCCTACATGCACATTGTAAATTCAGAGCATGCAAAAGAACTCACATCAAATATAAAACAGAGGAGTGTTTTTTTGAGGATGAGAGGATGTCTGTCTGAAAGCAGCAGAGCTTACTCAATCTTATTAAGACAAAGAGAAAAATCTTGTGCAACTGCATATAACTAACATGGCAATGTAGCACACTGATACTGGTAAACATCAGTATTGGCAGCAGGATTCAACTATTTCACCCCAACACATTAAAGTGCATAAACAGTTTGCTAGCAGGATGTTTTTTTTTTCCTGCTTTCAAAAATATGTTTAGAGTCACACATCAAATCCAGAATAATTCAAAAGTTAAATAATCAGAGTGAAACTAATATTTACGATTAGTTCTTGAACATATTACTTCATTAAGAGTGTACAAGTTGTACGCAACTCTTATTTTGAATGAAGGGTTGATGCAAACAGTCCACACTGTTAAAGAGTAACTATTCTGAGACCCACGTTGGAGACAGTCCAATCATTGTGAGGAAAATGGCGCCATTTTTAGCAAGGATGTTATTGGATACTGAGAATTCAGTTCTAAGATGCTGTTGGTCCAAAAACTAAATGTGAATGCAGACAAATTGGTTTTATCCCTGTTCTAATGTGCTGCTCTTATAAAATGTCGCTATTTTTTTCAGCATCTAAGAAAATTTGAGATTTGTGAAAAGGTCATTTATTGCAGTAAATTTGTTCCAAAAATTCATATTAACATGAATCTTGAGAGGTTTCCATTTTGTTTGTTTTTTAAATAATTTATTATCATAAATTTATTGTCATAATAATTATGATCAACGTGGTCTTATATGATTCAGTTGATAATTATCATTGCTGGGGTTTTGGCATTATAGTTCCTTTCTTCAGCAGAGTTTCTTATCTAATTCTTAAGTTCTCTTCTTTGTGCATTTTGCTATTTTTCTCATGGATCTGTGTTTTTACCATAGTTTGTTGTTAATTTGTTTCTCTCCACCAGTCTCCCTGTTTGACTCTATTCCACAGCTTTTCCCTCATTAAGCTCAGCTGAAACCAGTCTCATTCTCCATCCTTACTTTATTTTATTGGTGTACTCCCTAATGCTTGCCATGTGCCATGTGCTGTCTCCTGTAATTACCTTGCAAGTTGTCTTCATTTAAAAACCTAGTTTTGAAGAGCAAATGATTTCCATTACAGTCAGCCATTCTGTTTGGGTCATGTATAAACTATCACTTAAATTAATTGCATGGTGATACATGTGCTTATTTCAGGTATTTCTATGACTATAGTTTACAGTCCTGAAAAGCCTAAATTCAGTTACTCAGAAAGTATAAACATTAGCCAAGAATAATAAAAAAGGCTTTTAAATACCAAGATGTCACTCTGTTGAAGAGCAGGTCCACAAACTGTACAGTAATTGTGCTAAAAGTTTGTTTGGGGTTCTTTTGCGTGAATTAGATCGCCACTGCAATATTGCACCACTAAGGGTTTATCATAATCTAGGGTGCTTCAGATCTGGACTGCTGGGTCCGGTGTCTATCATCCTCTTCTTGTCAACTTTTAAATACACTTTACTTCAAGGATTCTTTTACCCTATTCCTCAGTTTTATTTCCATTCTCCTTTAGATGATCTTATTAATTCACAACTCTGCAAGCCATTTTTCTTTGTTAGAAGGGGTGAAAGACATCCCATGTTTAGTTTTTAAAATTATTTTATCATTATGTACCATTCCATTTTCTTGAAAAACTGATTTTTGGTTTTAGATCATAATCAAAAGAGAATTTAATTTTGGGAATTATACTACTGAAATTAACCACATTTTCAATGCTATTCTTCAAATAACAGCAAAGAATAGTAATGTGCATACTCACACTCATCCTCATTTGTTTTTACTGAAATCAGCCAACCATCAATGATTTACCATATTACCTTCTAAACTGCCAAATATTGTATGGCTTTTGCTACCAATTGTCATTACTTTTGTGGATTAATGCAAATCTAAACTTTCAACAATAAACCCTGCATGTGAAAGCAATGCCAGAAAGTAATTTCACCTCAGAATGGTAAATGGTAAATTGCATGTACTTATATAGCACAATTTTTCAAGTCAGGAGACTTCACCAAAGCGCTTTACACTACATTCATTCACCCATTCACGCACACACTCACACACTGATGGTGGCAAGCTACATTGTAGCCACAGCAGCCCTTGGGCTCACTGACAGAAGTGGGGCTGCTGTACACTGGCGCCATCGGGCCCTCTGAACACCATCAGTAAACAATGCAGGTGAAGTGTCTTGCTCAAAGACACAACGACAATGAAACTCGGAGTCGGGGCTTGAACCATCAATTCTTCGATTTCAGGGCAAACTCCTACATCCAACGCCAGTGTCGCCCCCAGAAAAACTAATTGGATAAAAAACTGACAAAAGTGTTGTGATATATCGTATTCCCTTGTTTCTGTTTGTGCAGATGTGTCAGTTTGTTTTCTTTAACATGGATTAGAATGATATGAGAAGGAATTCCAAGTTACCTTTGCTGCGACTGATGAGCTTGGCTTTTCCAGAAGATCCCAAAGTTTCTTCCGTTTTTCTGCACAACAGGTGTTGTCAAATTCTTCTCCCTCTATATCTTTTATATTATCTGCCTCTCTCTTTAGCTCCTCGTTCATCTGCTCCTTTTTCTGGTGGTATCTAGCCTGGCAGCAGGATTCTAGATAGATCTCATCGATGCCCCAGTAATCGAGCTCCTGGCTGAAGGACAGGGCACACATCTCCTCCATCATGTGCAGCTTGCCCGTGCGGTAGAAGTTCAGAATGGATGTGAAGGCTCCTGGATGTCGATCAAAGAAGTACTCATTCTCATCCAGGTTGTAGTCATCACAGACCTCCATCAGAGAATCGTGGGAGTTGCAGTCTCTCAGTTTTCCCAAACGAGTCCGTGGCAGGCGGTCCAAGGTTCGCCATAAGACTTCATGTGGGAGACCTCCGACATTCAGCCTGACTCGGCGGTAACAGGACTTACTGCGGATGATGTCCACTGGCTCAGGTGGAAGGGATGATGTTGACCGGGAGCCAGCTTTGTTTAAATCCAAGGATTTTTCCATGATGATTTCGAGTTGAGGAAGCATGCAAACAGCCAGGTCTATGGACTACTGTTGATGTTCTTTTCTTTCATTGTAGTGTCTAAAAAAAAATACATAAAAATGTACAATTACTCTTCATGCAAAAAAAAAAAGTCTGTATCAAATCATTACTTAGACTATAAACGCATTGTGGAAAACTAGTCATGACTATGAGATCTTGTGTAGATCTCTGGAAATCGCCTAGCAGGTCAGGATATTTTTCATCCTGTTGTTTAATGAAGAAAAATGACAAATCAGTTTATTAAATCACTTTAATTAAAACTCTCTGGGTGCTAACCTAAATTCAAAGTGCAACTAAAACCAAGCTGTAAAAGATGTTAGTGGTATTATGCAGTGAACTATTTCATTTAACCATATGTATACATTTACAGTATATGTAAATGTATACAAAAGGTGAATAACTGATGTCACTTTGACCTATGGAAGCCCAAGAAGTGAATTTGTGAAAGACAAAAAAAAAAGAGAGAAAATGTTATCATATGATAAATTTATTCCCCAGGTCTACAAGAATCCATTAGATAAATCAAACATTTGAACATCTATATAACTTTGGAAGTACTCTTTAGCCACATACAGTAGCTCAACCCAACATCAATCAAGCAGGAAATTCCAGCTAGAGTTCTATCTGATATTCTGTGCCAACTCTTGGTACGACTAAAGCAGTAAATCTGAAACCAAAGTCTCAGCCTCTAGCCTCTCCTTTGTCATGCATGGTGCACATTATGATTATTATCACTAATAGAAGTAGTGACAGTAGTTCTGTCATTGCATTTCCACCTCTATCATGATGGTGCTCATTATTGTTTACAATACAATGCAATTTATACACTTATACTTATGTATTTATGTCATAATAATATTATAAATAAGCATAAAAAACAGGAAACAAATATACCAAATAGAAAGAAAAATATAATCTAAATTGAAACTGTTATTAAATATGTTATCATTATTTGTTCGTGTAGATTTCTAGTAAGAGCAAAGAAAGTCACAATGATTGAAGAAATCTAAATTTATCCTTAATGAGACTACAACAATCCTAAATCTCTTTAGAGGCCAATTCAGTTAAGTGTCGAGGCACTTTACAACAAAGAAGATAAATAAATTGAGTTGAATCAACTCAAGCAGAGAAAAGCAGTCAATATCCGTTTATCATTTAAACTGATAAAAATGTTTGGCAGTTGGCATTACATCAATGACTTGAAACATTTTCTCCTCTTGAATGACAATTTTTTTAATGGTGGATGGTTACTTGTGTTGTGTTTTTGCCTTTTCAGCAATCCTTCATTATAAGCATGCATGCAGTGACAGTTGAAAGAAAAAACTCCTCTTTTAAGTCCGGCTTACACTGTGCGATTTTTGGGGCGACTTTCCAGTCTAACGAGAATTTTCCGATCAGCCCGACTTTCAGCCTGATCATGCGTCTCGTAGTATACAGGGGGTAAGGAGGGGTGATCAGCCTCTCGCGACCACCTCCTGATCAGGAATCGTTAGGTCAGGAGAAAACCAAACATGTTTGATTTTTCAGTTGACCGTCGTGGGCAAATCGCTCAGTGCACATGTGCAAACAAAGGCTCTTCTTCTTCTTCTTCCTCTCAGATGAAAACACAGAAGCATGGCGAGGCTGTGAGTGAAATTGAGTTCTTTCTGTAATATTGACAGACCGTAGTAGCCACGTTTGCTCAGCCATGTCTTTGTCCAAATACGTTGCCGCATTTTCTTTTTAGGGCTTTCAGTACAAAATTGCCAAGGCAGCACGTTTCACTCTAGTGAGCTTCATATTCCTCTTGTACTACGGTAGCTTGGCTTCCGGATAGATCAGTCCCAGTAGTGCCAGCTCTCTCCGGGGTTGAGTCCAATGTGGTTTTTAAACGTGCAGTGTGAGCAGGTAGATTGGATGTGAGCTGTAGCTCATGCAACGATTGAAAAAATCGTACGTGTATGCCAAGTTTAACATACAGAAACCTCCTGCATAACAGAGCGTGCAGACAGAGCGTGCACAAACACACACACACACACACACACACACACACACACACACACAAAAAAACACAGACCCAAGTAATTTCTTCTAAAAAGAAAAAAATTGAAAGTTAATAGCTTTCTAATTAGTAGCTCGTAAAGTGACTTCATCTTCATCCAGAGGGGAAACACATCTGACCCAGCCTTTAAGACTTAAGGATGTAAGAGAATATTTAAAATTAGTCACAGTAATATTTAAAATTAGTCACACTAAGGCCATGGCTATGTCTAGAGAAGAGAAAGGGTTAACCACTGAGAGACAGGACCAAGTGAATTATCTATACAATAAAAACAAGAAGTTCTTGACAGCAGTAGCCCAACATCTAGCCCTCCAGGAAGGTTAAACAACTGAAAAGAACCCAGGTCTGAGCTTGCTTCAATGAGGAAAATTAATATAGAGAACATAAATATTGCAGTAATTTCTAATAATGCAAAATTGGAGGTTTTAGATCAATAGTGTGGGAGAAAATGGTCAAATTAGTCCTAAAGTAGCCCAAGCTTATAAGAGTATAGCTACAGAAAAGGTTCAGGATAACTAAAGTCACTCTAACTGTAGGCTTTATCGAAAGGGACAGTTTTATGACAGGTCTCTGTTCTGTCTCGGTGCTTCTTTGTTTTCAAAAGAAAAGCCCAAAAACTGAAAGATCTGCCTTCCATGCTATTCTCTCAGAAACCGTTGTAGCCACCAGTAAACCTGCAGTCAGAAAGAAATTATGCTCTTTTGGGAAAATATGAAAAAAATCCAATACCTAAAATAATAGAGGAAATTGAATATTATGGGGTTTATACGTATGTTAAAAGGAAAACTTCACAGTTAAGGGAAATGTGTGGAGCACATGTGTTCATATGTAGCATCACCAAAGTTTTCTTCAGTAGGATCAGCCTGTACTCTGAATCAAGTTAAAACAGCCCATCATGAATAAACTAAAAAGGCCTTTGTGAGCAGATGGGAATTACTGTGATGACTCACCCATATTAGCAATGCAAGAAACAGAGCCCTGGCTTAGTTTTTGTTGTCATAATCTCAAACAGTCACTAAAAAGAAACCTGATGATATCAACTAAATCACCAGCACCTTATTAGCAAGGTTAATCAGCAAGACAGAAATTACACAACAAAGTTAAGTTTAAATCTTTTCTTTTGGCTTTCTCTGACACCAAATCAAATGAAATCTAACATGGTGGTCACTTTTTTTGAAAAGTATATTTTTCTAAAAAAAAAAAAAAAAAGAATAAGCAGTTGAACACATGTACAGATGACTCATGCTTTACCAGCTTGCAGATTGAAACATTTAGTTTTTGTTTCTGAAGAAATGTATACCTGGATACTTGGATTATAACAATAATCTAAATTTTTCATGATATAAACAGGATCATAACGTTTAAGTTTATGTACATAAAGTGTGAGAAATGGCTTTGGCTATGAAAATAATTGTATAAAGATCTCAAAGACGAAAAAATGCATGCATGTAGGACACGCACTGGGGTTCTAGGTTCCTTGGTTTAATTTATTCGTTGGCATGTTGCAGTTTTTGCTCTTTGCTCCAATGACGCCCATGCAGTGCTGTGGGTGGGACGCTGGGATGCTACAGAACAGAGTGAGCGCTGTCCAGCCCAGAGGTGCTGAAACATTGGGGAAGCGCCGTTTTCCAAGTGAATTTCTGCTTGCAGCCTGCGTCTCCGGGGAGAGGAGGGATGACCGAAAATAAAACACCTTTTTTTTTTCTAATCGAGTCAAACATGTCCTGTTAGTTTTTCATGAGTGTAGACGTGGCACCTGCAAGCCCACTGCACGCCTCTATTTAGTGTTTATGACAGCCCGATATACCAGGCCTATTGGTGTGATCTTTATTTCCTGTCACACAAAGTTTTTTATCATCCAAAACCCAATATGGAATGACCACTGTGCCAAGATAACAAGTAAAAAAAATGATCACGTACAAAATATATATTAACGCGAAAGCTATAAATGTAGGACGTCTTGAGAACACGCTGTAACAGCCTGTGCTAAACATGATCAAAACAATTATTTGATCCCTCTTGTTCCAGCAGTTTTAAAGCTCCAATATAGCAGGTGAAAAACACCACTCCCTCTTGGGCAAACGCGGCTATTCTGCGTAGCTACACGAAGGATGTAAATAAGCTGGGGTGGAAGCGTCTAAAAGAAGTGCAAAGTCTTTCTGCTATTTTTTAACATGCAAGCTTAATATTAGTGGAGCTGGGCTGCAGACAGCTCACACAGTGGAAAGACAAAACAACTGACAGGTTGCAAAGTCCGGAGATGGATTGGAGCCTTAAAAAAAACACCATGATGGGTTGTAGTAATAATGCACTGAATCAAACCAGCACGTACCAGCTCTGTGATCAATCAATCCGTAGCTACAAGCGAAGATGATGGGCGTGAAAAAGCCAAAAAAGAAAAAAAGGAGGCGTCGATATTGGTTTACAAATGTCAGGGTTTAACCCGTCTCCCCGTCCTCTCTCTCCGACATGGCAAGGAAAGATCCTCAGCACGACTCGAACCGCAAACCGGCGGCTTCCCGGACCGCATGTCGCACCGCGCTGTTTGAGCCCGGAGATCAACAAGTACGCCGACACACAGCCCCCTTCCTTCACACGGAATACCTGTGTTCCCAGTCAGCTGTGCGAGAAGGCACCGCATCTCTGTGAAGGTGGATCCATGGCAGCTCCGAGCTCTTCTCCACATCTGTTTAACTCTTCCTTCTCCGAGTCCTCAATCATTGAGAATGCACTGCTGCTCAATCCAAGGCTGGGCTGGATGAGTAGTCACCAGATTTCTTCTGATTTTGCTGTTTTACAGATTCAGATGTTTCAGATCAGACTGATCTAATTCTAATATGAAACTAAGAAAAACTGAGTAAATAAAAAAGGCTTTTTAAACCAAAACAAAAGTAATATGATAACTGGCTGTGAGTAGTAGATACCATCCAATAGAATAGAATAGAATAGAATAGAATAGCCTTGTACTCACACTGGGATATTAAAAAAAAAGTCCCACTGGGCTGTTTCCAATTTTAAAGACGTTTCACTGGGTTAATTACCCACCATAATTTTTGTTACATGGTAAAAAAAAAAACTGCAATTAACATTTTTTTTGATACAGCTGTGAAAGATATTTTTTTAATATCTCACACTCTTGCTGCTCTGTCTGGATTTAAACACTGTAGTGCAGAGCTAACTTAAGCATTTATGTAAACATTAAAAGAAAAATTTGTTAGCTACTTTATTGTTATGTCCTGGTTTTCTTGAGTTTCTTGGTTGTTGTTTTTTTTTCTGTTGGTTATTAAACCTTACTCTTTTGAGCTTAGAGCTGTACAATTTCCCACTGTTGCCTCAAAAACTTTAGGTACTTTGGGTAAAATCCTACCTGGTTCCTTTCTGTTTGGGGTATCTATGTCCTCTATGGATATTGATGTGTTCTTTACAGCTTGCCTGGTTTCTCTTCCAAAGTCCAAAATTCGCAAATTAGTTTAATTGATTTCTGAATAACCCTTACCTGTTATGGACTGCAAACTTGTCAAGATGCATCCACCCTCTTCACCAATGAACCTTGGCAATAACAATTATAGCACTTTGAATATGCAAGGATCAAAATGTATATAAACCAAAAGGATAGATGGGCATAGTGGGGTGCAATAGTGGAATGGTGAATTTATTTGTACTTGCAAGTCAGGTTTTTCAAGTTCCCTTTCTTCAGCAAGATTGCCTCCAAATCAAGTTAGAGGAGGAAATGTGGAGGTATCAGAGCAGACCTGCGTATCATATCCAATGCTATCAGGCATCCCCAAAGTCGGTCCTCGAGGGCCGCTGTCCTGCAGGTTCTAGAGGTTTCCCTGCTTTAGCACAACTGATTATGATGCTTGCAGTTGAGCAAAAGCCTGTTAATCAGCTTTCAATTAAAATCAGCTGTGCTGGAGCAGGGAAACCTCTACAACCTGAAGGACAGTGGCGCTCGAGGACTGACTTTGGGGATGCCTGCTAAAGATACTTATGTGCCATCCTCTTTATATGGCAATGTCTATTCGTAAAGTATCCCTTTGTTTGAGAGAAATAAATTGCTATTGCACCACATATTGTAGTTCCCATTGGGGCTATTTGAAGATTCCACTGGATTTCTAGCTTGCAACGAAGGTGAGCTAAATAGACATGTGGCACCATTCCAAGATGATAATTGTGAGACAAACAAACCCATTTCCAGATGAAGTTATAAGAAATAAATTACATATGCTACCACTACTTTCTGTATATACCCAGGGTTTTGAGCTAATATGTTTAGCAGTGTTGCACTACCAAATAAAGCAACTAAAACCCCTACTTATAAGTGCTACTACAGCACTGTTTTCTATGTGATTCTGTGTAACCCCCTACTGGGCTGTGGCAGATTACTGCTTACACAAAGACAGGTATTCCTTAAGGCTTCTTCTTGTTGAAAGGTATTTTGCCTATTCAATGTTGATATGCATGTACGAGGGATTGCTGCTAAGTTAAGGACATGATGCAGTCAACATTCTTCTGCTGCTGAATACTTATTCATGTAGGGGGATTGATGCTAAGAAAGTTGAATGATACAGTCAGCTTTGTTTCCTTATATAGAAAAAGATTTACCAATAAAACCATATAAACTGCACATGACTAAATTATTTTATAAAGAAGGCTAAATCCATCTACATGTCTGAAATTAATCTTTTTTTATATATACTGTAAATAGAATTTATCTTTATGTCTTTTAAAGAGGTTTGAAAGAAAATAATCTGAGCAAAAAAGTAACTGGAAATTGACTGAAAACATCAGCACAACATTATATACTATATGGATGGTTTTTTTAATCCAAATTCCAAAAATCCCTTCATAAATGAACAAAGGCACGCTTGGTTTAAATGCAGAACAGTGCAAACACAAATTGTGGATTTTAAAAGTCATTCAAGAGAAGTAATCTCTATAATCAAGGTTAAGTTTAAGAATAAATTACTAAATAGTTATATCATCTATACAAAAATATAACAGAAAAACACAACATAATTTACAGTAAATCATTGCTGATGTAACATAAACATCAATCCACATCAGATGTGGAAATGTTTAAGGCAAAAGTTAGACTATTTTGAAACATAATCAAGAATCAAGAGTCTTTATTGTTATGAGGTAACAATAATGACATTTTTCTGTTGGAGATGAACCCATAATATACACTGAAAAAAAGAATGCAACTGATTTTTGCATTTACTTAACCATATTTAGTTACTTTAACACAATTGTTTTATGTCCTACCCTGTTAACATGAAACAATTGTGTTAAAGTAACTAAATATGGTTAAGTAAATGCAAAAAAACGGTTTCATTCTTTTTTTCAGTGTACATACATTTCAGAATTTAGAGAAAAATCAAGACTGACCATTCTTAGAGAAGACCCTTAGAAATGTAAAAACAAGAAAAAAATATGCAAAAGAAAATACTTCTATTTGTTTTAGCTGCATTTTCATTATGTAAAAGAAAACAGTCTCACATTTAAAATATAAGCAACTTAAGAACATCAACTGGACAGCTGTGTTTCCACCACCACACTATAGAGTCATAACTTGCTATTTGATGAAAGAAACCAGAGGTTGAAATGACTTTTCACCATTTATTACAAATAAAATGAACACACAACAAACTTAAATACAATTAGTGTCAAACAGATTAGGTATGAAAAAAATTAATAGTGCAATATTACATTATACAAAAAATATTTTTAAGAAATATTTCATTCAAGATGTAACTTTAGTTAGGTATTTCAACATCTCACATCTCAGGCTGTGTCCTCTTGAGTCTGAATCTGACCTGCAGATCGCCATCTGGTTGCAGCATCCCGAACCCAAAGCGACTGCGATTAAATGGAGGAACTTTGGTGTCTGGGTTGCACAGCTCCAGATCAAAATGGGTCAAAAGCAGGAACACGAATCTGTAGGGCAAGTATTAAATATCTTAACACTTTAAACTTGGTGAACATTCTGAAAAAACAAAATGCAATGTAATGAAAATATACTTTCATGCATTGATTACACAGTTTGACCTTTATAGAAATGGTCTTACAGCTTTCATATCACTATTGAGTATAAGCAATTACAAATATGCTAACATGAAATAATGAGATTAATAATAATAATTATAATGAGGAAAATTACTTATATGTTTAATGGTTTGGTGTTTGCATGAAATGCTGTGATCATATGTGCAATTTTTTTCTCGAAACAATAAGATGAAAGAAGAATGACATTAAAAGGCTTTGTATCTGTAAACTTACTGTTTAATGGTTGTAACAGCAAACTTTCTCCCAACGCAGATGCTCTTCCCTGCGCCCCAGGGTAAGATGTAGTCCTTCAGCTGTTTTCCATCCTTGAAAAATTCTTTCTTCACCATTTTATCTTTATTTAGGAAGCGATCATGCTTGAACATCTGTGAGAGAAATGAGAATGAAACAGATGTGCATAAATTATGTGATGCAAAAGGTCCTATTATGCATTTCCTCCACTACACCATCTGTTAAAAATAATCTACACTTATGATTAACCAATAAAGACAAGCAGAATTAACAAAGATAAATCATCTTATTTACTGCTTTTCCGATGTCATATTGTGCTTCGCAAAAATATGATATCTTTCGTAATTTGTTATATTAAAGCTAATAACCTGTTGTTTATAAGGATTTTATGAGATGGATCAGCACAGAATAGTTTCTATTGTAACAGAAAGAGAATGATACACGGTTTTCATGCATGTGTCTTCAAGCCACCTTGGTTGGCACATTGTGGAGCGGCTATCTGCTCCAACTGAAGCGGAGATTCTTTCTTGGTATGTTTCTGCCAGGTGTGTACATTTAGAGACTTAACATTTTGCACAGTAGAAATATCAAAAAGTCCGACTGGATGGAAAGCGTCTTTAAGCATTTATCATCAGTTCTTTTCACAGATTTAATGTTGAATCTAGTTTAGTATTTCACAAGTTAAAAAGAACAGAATTTCCCTTTGAAATTGGTAAAGGATTATTAAACTGAATTGAATTGAAAATGTTTAATCTACACCATAGTATTGTTGCTCTGGCTAAATGTTTAAAGTCAGTGTCCTACTGTATATAAATCTCCACCGAAGTTTTAAGTCTTCTACATTGTCAAAATGGTTTTCTTCAGGATTGCCTTCAATTTATCTCCATCCGAATCCAGTGTATGTGTCCCTTCCAGAGGCAAGCTTCACCCACACCAAAATATGTCCACCACCATGTTCCAGCATGACAAAAGGTTGTTTAGGGTGTTTTTTCTCCACATATATCATTTTGCATGTTGGCTCAAAGTAACATTTGGATCTGATCTGACCAGAATCTCCTACATGGCTTATAGAACATAGCAAATTTGATCTATTGTCTTTTAAAAGCTTGCTACTTGCCAGACTTTGAACATGCCTGTACTAGAGGTTTGCCCAACTAGTAGCTGTCCTTTCAACAGATTTTTTTCACACCTGAAATGTAAACCTCTGCAGCTCCCTCAGAGCTTAGAACCAAATGAACCTCTGTATCGCATGTTAAGTACCTCTGGCTCTTCGTAAATCTCTGGGTCCATTTGAGGGCTGAGAAAAGGAAACAGTAACACTCTATCCCCACGTCTCAGGCGGTACTCCTTTCCATTGGCCATTCGAAGGATCTTGTCTTGAACAACTTCTCTTCGGATCGATACTGAAGTGGTAAGCCGTAAGGTCTCATTCAAAATGCTATCTACAGAGTGTAAAAGACACAGAAGGGGATGATGTCAGAGGGTTGTCACCACTGGTTAAATCAGCAAGTGCCTTCAGGCAGTATCTAGAAAGGCACAAACATTTACAACAATAAAATAACATGAAATTGAGGTTATTCTGATTTAATTGGGTCAAACATTGCATGCTTTTTCATAAAAGTCAAAGAACAATTTTGTCCACCCTGGTTAGATGGTTACCACCAAGAGTGGCAGAGCACATTTAAACAATAAGAGGCAGTTAGACCATAGTCATGTACCAAATACAGGTGTGCTCGCTCCTTCCAGCCAGTTCAAGTGGTGTCGCTGGAGGGAAGTATCCTGGAGAGAAAGAAGGTCTCTGATCTCTGACTTAGCAGCCTCCATAGCCTCAGGGTGAGTAAGCAGGAAGCTGAGGAGCCAGAAGGCAGCAGGTCCAGCGTTGCACTAAAAGAAATAAACACAGAACACAGACTTTGCATTCAATATCTAGTCCATAAATCTGCTCAGGAGATTAAATCAAAATATAATTTTCTGTTTGAACAAATGCAACAATAAAATATTACAAATGTTTTCTTCAGTTTTGCAGTTTAGATATGACTGGTGTAAGAAACGAATGAGTCTGAAATTTGTAGAAACTGTTCTCAGATCCACAGAGTCAGGAAAGCAAGGCTGTCAGACAGTAATTGCTAAGGGTTAAGGGAACTGTTCTTTTTACCTCTGCACATCTAAGGTCAGCTCTCTTCTGACAACAGTGTCACTGCCCCCGAAGTGACAAGAGTGACAACAGATTGTTGTTCTGTCCTGAGAATAACTTTGAATAAAAAAGTGCCTAAAGTCTTAGGTAATGACACTGTATGTGTTTGGGTGTTAACAAAAGAGCAGATGGTCTTGTTCAGGAATGCTTAACAACATTGTAAGGTTAAGCTAATTTTATTAAGCCAAAGAAACTATTGTCCAGTCTAGAGCCCAGTCTAGACTAGGCTTTGGCAGGTTATTTATGTAAGTATTAAACATACTATGAAGACTGTATGTTCTCCACAAAACAATGCTCTAATTTACGTAAACTCTTTATTTGTGTTCCTGCACAAAGAGAAGAACAAGAAACTTACCACTACTACACCACCACTATTTCTACTGGGTTGTTATATTTTTTTTTTGTTTCTTAACAGTTTTAAAGAAGATATGAGTACCATAGTGCTCTACAAATGAATACACCTTAGTGGAAATTCGAACTTCTGAAGTTCACTTTTGACCTCATCCAGGACAGTGATAAATGTTCATACAGAGGCTGTATCAGCTTGTCAGACATATTTGCACCCATTTGGCCTAGCTTATCTTTTGTAAGAAGTACATATACACATATTTACCATACAAAAGGTTAGCAGTATTCACAGAATGTTTGCCTTTCTGTTTCAAATAACAACAATTAGAACATGTCAGGGATGTGCAGTGGTTATTGCTGCTGCTTTGCAGCAAAAAGGTTATGGGTTCAGTTTGCTGCCTTGGGTCTCTGCATGGAGTTTGCATGTTCTCCCAGGGAATTGGTGGGTTCACTCTGGGTACTCCATTTTTCATCCACAGTCCAAAAACATGACTGTTAGGTTAATTCTCATATGATTGGCTCAGGAACCAGAAAGTAAACACTGCCTACACACTGTACCAAATAAGTTCCTTACTGTACCTCTACATCTAAAAGGAGAAAAAAAAAAAGACATTTCTGATGGAGAGGATCAATTGTTTATGGGAAATCTTACTTCCATTCTGGGTGACACGTGATAATTATTTTGGTTAATTTTACAATACATCTCTTGATGCACCCAAAGCAGCAGCATATTTTCTTTATGCCTTGTCCTGTTCTCTATTTTCCTACCAATATGTTGAGTGAGTTAACTAAAATCTTGCCCCAACTTTAAATTTAAACCTGGAAGAACTTGTATAAAGCATTAAACCATTCTGTGAAAATGAAAATTATTACTTGTATATTTGGTTATGTAGAGTAGGTATCAGTTCCTAAAATTAAGTATAGGTTTAAAAAAAATCGTTCCAACCTACAAGAAATGCAGGACTCACCAATGGTGGTGGACAGAGTGAAATGGAAGCATTACACCTTGCTTAGAAAAATCCAGAGGTAGGCCTAAAACACATATAAAAGCTACAATCCCTGTGGAAACTCTCACCAGCCAAAAATCTAATCCCTCTGTTCTCTGCAGTGCTACTTCATTGTAGGACAGATAATGTCCACTCGCATACTGGTACCTACAGGATATTGCAAAAATATCTGGAAGTTTCTAAATCTCCTTAGAAAAGCTGAGTCTCTTTTGCAGTGAGAATGACAGGTTAACAAAGAAGAATAAATTCTATGGATAAAATGTTGCACTAAAAAAGCAAACAATAAACAGCTCAATTTCTCCCCCACCTGGCAGCTCTGAGGGATAACACCACTTGGCATAACACCACTTGGCATTGACTTGTCTGGGCTGGTGAACAGCTATTTAGAAATCCAACTCGTATTAGTACCTCACACACTATGTTTCTAGGTAACTGATATGTAAACAGTGCTTTAACATCTCTTTAATGGCAGAGTCATTATTCACTTTAAATACTAACTCTTGACAAAAGAGAAAATATGTAAGTAAGATACTGTGATTTTTTTTAATTGCATTTAAAGGGCATTGGGGCCATATAAAAGAGTTATACGCGACTACAAAGAGCTGCACTATAACCTGAAGAAAGGTCATGACTGATAGCTTTGCTTAAGGGCATAAGCCCCTGAAACTATGTGACATACCTTAAAAAGGAAGCAACTTCAGCACTGACTAACACATTTCTCATACTAGCTGATGTTTACACAATTAATTACTGGATACCTGTACCAGATAATTTGACATGGAAAGTCATCCATGTGATCGAAACTTTAAAGAAAAATAAAGGAAGTCCTCTCTAATCAACAGGTTGAGGCAGGCCCCCCTGAGTAATTTGATGGCAAGGAATCCAACTGCTCTTATTTTTTCACTGTTGACAGGCCAAGTGAGTGTTTCAGTGAAAGGGTATCACTGTTAAGTCAAATACGGGTGTGTTTGTCAGTGTGTTTATGATTTTGTAAATATGCATTACATCAAGGAAAATACAAAAAGCTCCCACCTGTGTGGTCCACAGCTGCAGTAGGTGAGCTTTTTTCTGCATGTCCACATCTATGCCTTGCTGTTGCAGGAACTGAACATAGCTCTGCTGCCAGGAATTAGCCTCCGATTCCCCATTCAGACATTTTGGGGACAGCAGTTCCAACAGCCGCTCCTGGGATGTGGCAACCATCTTCTTTTCCTCTGATATAAAATATGGATGGAAACATAGATCAGTGAACAAGTAGTAGGGCAAGTATTGTTTTATTGCAGTTTTTTCTTTTTGGTTGTTTTTTTGTCATTATTTGAAGTGCACTATTGCAAGTCAATAATTGTCAGAGTCACAATTTGCTGCAGTTACAGTTGCACAGGGTACTGCTGGTAAATATATAGTGAATTTACTGTCATCATACTATTAGTGTGAGTAATGATAAGATAACAATGGACTTTTTAAAAATACACAAAATAATAATTTGGTGTACATATTCAAAGATGCAAGAGTAACGAACAGGAACATATGGATTTCAAATGTTATATGCTCTCTCTATTGGGATGATAATTTAAAATTAAAATTAGAAGTATTTCTAAATATTTTACATCCATTTTGGCTAAAAATCTATCACTGAATTATGTCAGAGCCTTAAAAAAACAACTGTTGCTAACTTAACCATTATTGAACATTCTAATCAAAGTTAATAAGATAAAGCAGTTACATTTAGTAGTACAACTAAAATGCCATGATCACTAATACAATTGCTGCTAATTATATTTCCAATTGTAAACACGGCCTTTCCAATGCTCTCATAAAAGTAAAGCCAGCAGCGTTCAACCAGCAAAGATAACATTCCAAACATTGTACTGTACATTTCTGAGGTTTAAAAAAATTCTTAGCCAGAAAGCATTGTTTATTTTCCTTCATTCATTTCCTGATTATAAGAAAGAGTTCACAGTTTTCATGCCAGTGGATTATCCAGTCTTTCAGGTGGAATTTCTCTGTACATCCTTATACCTGACTCAGAAAACAGTCCCCAAGGTGACAATGATTACTAATTGTGAAAGAAGTATAGAGGAGAAACAAAGCAGAGAAAAAAACATGGATGAATCATGACATAGTAATCATGATCATTGCATAATTCTCTTTCAATGTAAAACATTGTTCAACATATTTTTTAAAGAGTTTTACAAATGCCTAGTTTTGTCTTGAGGTTTTTGCACCTTCTTCATAAAATACCTCACATCATTCTAAATTATTTCAATTTGAATCTGGAATTTGTGTCTCTTACTAGCATAGAACTTTGATCAAAACTATTCCTGACTTTATGTGAGGAGTTGTCATCCCAAAGGGAGATGAGCCTTAAGTATCATGCCACATCCAAAAGGGTTTATTCCAGGACTCAAGGTGATTTAGCTCCATTTTTTTCTTATTAATCCTTTATAGGACTCTCAGTGAAAATCAATATTTCAGACTAAGAGTGTTTTTGGAAGGCAGGAGAAGACCTTATTACTTTTATAACATTTAATGTATCTTTTGATGACAAAAATTAAGGGCAATGTAATAACAAGAAACAGTCACTTGCCCTGTAATGTAAAAAAAAACAAAAACAAAGGGGTTCTAAGACATTCATAAAAGACATTCACAGAGTAAAAGAAATACATATTTTTGCTACAACATAACATCAGAAATGTAATGCTGATACAGGCACTTACATTTTTGACGTTTTAACTTAGCTCAATAACTATTTTTTAGGCATATCTGAGAAGAAATGGCTCTAATATAAATGCATGGTGGTCTTGAAGATTCTTATTTTGTAAAATTGAACCATCTCTTTCTATCTGCTTCAACTGAATGAACTTATTTGTTAAGTTTTACACAGAAAGTCCCAATAAACTGTATTTAAAATTTGTAATTATATTGTAAAAACTGCCGAGGACTATGTTAGCGTGTCTTTAAACCTAAAATCCTAATAATTCTACTGTAATAACAAAAGAGTTTAGAAAAAACTGAGGGAAAGTGAGCAGTGCGCTTTCAGTTTCAATGTTTCAGACACCTTACCTTGCTTCAGTGAACTGCGAGCCAGTTTAGGAAGTAGATTGTCAAACTTGCGGAATTCCTCATAGATGGCAGCAACATCATCCTTCCTCTCAAACAATGTGAGATATCCAGCTCTGTCAGAAAACAGTCAGGTTTAAACACACATTTTCCATCCATTGCTTTGCTGCAGTTCAACAGGGTCATCGTGCATGTCTTCTCATGTTCTATGTTACCTAAAAAGAAAACTGTAACAGAGCTCAAACAATCCTTCCTCTCTCCACTCTGACGGGCTGCAGGATTCAAAACTTTTCAGCATCACACTGGTAAGATGAATATTCATGGAAGTATTCAGTCTATCAAGATTTAGACCTTGGAAATGTCTGAAAAGAAAATCATCTGAGAATTAAATCTTCCTTAAACTAGTTATAAATGTTTTTTTCATTCTTATTATTAATATTAAGATTTAAGGCATTACGGTTCCATCCATTTCCTTTCAGATGTGGGGTAGTTTCCTGGAAGCTGCAGATTGAAGATCTGTTTTAAGAGCTGCCCTCTGATGTGGGTGGAGTCAAAGCTATTGGTGTTGTCATTCAGCACATCATCAAAGGAGTGTGGGTCCAACAGAACTGTTATATATAAACCAGCAACACGAACCTACAAGAGTATATTTCTGTTTAAGTGCTTTTGTTTTTATTGCTTGTTATTTTTTTGCCTTATTGTAGTGGTAATTCAGTATTTGCAGAAACATACTGTAAAGATGTCCCCATGTTTGTCTTTCATTCTTGCAAGAAACTTTGTAACATCATTTCTCATCTCTAGAGCGTGACCCAGCCATGGGATGAAGCCAAGATCAAGAGGAGGCTCATTCTTCTTTCTGTCAGGAACAAGGAAACTCATTCAAATTTGTGCACTGTGGTTTGCATATCTACGTTTTCACACATTCATAAATCTCACCAAACAGGTTTCATGTTTTCATAAAATCATCTAAAAGTGTCTGTGTTTGTTTTATTGAATTAATGAATAGGGTGTTGAGTTTAAGTAACTTTAGCCATAGCAAAACTGTATGCTTAAAATATGTATATTTTTTCATATATAAAGCTACATGCAGATATGCTTTAAAATGTAATATCAGATTTAAACCATTTAATCAAATTTTAACAAAAAAAGCTTATAGAACATATTTTAAAAAATGTATTACAATTTCAGATTAAAACTGATATCAATTCAACTTTTAGAAAATATAAATAAGATATAGATAAATCAAAAAATAGAGTTTTACCTTGCACGAAAGGTGAAAAGAAGTAGTAGTATAAGCAGTCCGTTTAAAAGTAAGAAAGCCGTTCCCAACATGTTTGTCTATGATCTGACACTTGAGCAGCCCTGTAGATTATAACTGCTGTCAGCCTGCTTATAACTCCGAGCCTGGCTTTGCTGTAATCACCATTTGCCGATGGGGCGTGGAAAGGTGCGGCAAGCGACACAAAGTCTTGCACAACCAACTACAAAAGATAGTGTCTGACAGCTTAAAACAAAACAACAGTAACAAAAAACCAATATTAGGCTGATCTGATTTGAATAAATATAGCCTAATCTATATGAATGGAATATATAGTAATGGCTCTGAGAATCTCATTAAGCATATTCAGCCTCACCAGAAACAGTCCCATAGGGTTTTCAAAGTTTCATGGCTATGGAAACATCAAATTCTTGCAAGTTCTTTTGCAGTAGATGAAGCGATCAAATATTGTGCATCAAAACTCTTAAGGTTTAGCAATCATAAAAACCACTCTTACCACAACCAACTTCTCTTTTTTATGTTTTACATCAACTGTGGTTTTAACTAAATCCCTAACAGAAAAAAAACAACTACTGCTGACAAGTCTGTCACACTAAAACCAGCCGTTAAAAAATACCAAAGATATGACATCTTGCAGTTTAACGTTATAAGATGTGAAACTATGACTCAGTGAAGATTGTGTACAACAGAACTTCTTATTATTCATATCTGGATCAAATACTCTATACTTAATGAACCAATGCATAAGGTATTCAAAACATTCCCAGCAGTTGTTTTTCTCATTGTCTACTAACAGATGGCGATAATGCATATGCATTAACCAAACAATTCTATCAACTGCAAAGTTAATTGAAAGTGTTGTCAGAGTTAAGGCATTTCCTGTCAATAATGTGCTTATTTTTTTCTTTTGACTCAGAACATTTTCTTAAAAGGATACTTAATTAACCTAAGGCAAGGCAACTTTATTTATATAGCACATTTTAATGCAAGGCTGTTCAAATTGCTGTACAAGAGGGGAAAACAAAGAAGATAACGTTGCATTGACGAAGAGCCAAACACAAATTAAAAATAATAAAAATTGCACATTAAAATAAGAGGATTATATAAAAGAATATAAAATAATGGATAAGACATTTTCAATAAGATTAAATGATTAAGAAAATATAACTATAGTTGGACAATAAAAGTAATTCAGCTTTACAAAATGTTGGCACATCCATGCATGTGTTTCTTCTATGACCTCACCCAGCATTGGAACGGTTTCATAGTCACCTGGTGGCATTGTAATGTACACCTGTGTGTAGTCTGCATGGTAACTTATGTTTTAATTTATTTAGATCTGAATAAGAGGGAGCATCAAGTTTTAAAATAAAAGGACATCTAAGAGGGACCCTTTAGGAATGGCACATTGAATTTTGTGATCTCTGATAAAAAAGTTACGTACTTACACAAAAAAGTAACTGTCCTTCAAATAGGATTTAAACCAGTCCATTGCTGTAGCAGAAAGGTTGAGTGAGTTTACCAGTCTCTCTAATAAAATGAAGTGAACAACAGAGTCAAATGCTGCATTAAGTTCCAATAATGATTCCCAGTCTGAATTCTTAATGATGTCATTGAAAACTTTGACAAGGGTAGTCTCTGTACTGCCTAGAACATGTAAGCCATGTAAGTGGATGGGGTTAAGGACAGGTCTGTAGTTCTGCGGTAGAAACTTGTCCAAGTTGCTCTTTTTTAACACTTAGAAGATTGTCTACATAAAGATAATCAATAATGATAATGTTACAATATTATACAGTTGGCCTAATATTGTTTGAAATCAACACAAACCATGAGAATTATAATTTAAAGGGAAAATTCTGAAAATAAAGTAAATCTTCATGTAGCTTATTTAGCCCCTCACACGTTAATGCTCCTCCTTAAAGGAGCCATGTGAAAAACTCTAGCCCACAGAAAGGAATTTAACTGCCATGAATGAAAGCATCAATTCTTCAGTGACAGAGGAAAAATATGCACATATTTAATCTGCACGTGCATTTCTTATTCATATTAGAATTAGTATTCATCATTACAACATTTATTTAGCTCCTCCTACAGCTATCATATAACTTTCAGCCCAAATTTAAATAAGCTACCTTTGATGCTGACTACTCCCATATACACTAGAATATAGAATGTAAAGAGTGACTGTGGAATTTTAGGTAAATAAAATATTCAACTAAAGAAATACAAATGCATCTCCTATATCCCTTTCTCAGAAAAGAAAAAAAAGGGAAAAAAGTTCTCTATCTTAGCAGAAGAGAAACTTCACTACACCTTAATTCCAGTGGGTGGTGGTAATAGGTACATACAACTGTTTCTCCCTTAAAGCTGAAGTCTGTAAGTTTTTAAAAATCAATTTTTGTCATATTGGCTAAAACTGTCCCTATGCCCAGACAGCAGTACATGTGATATGTAACCTGTAAAAGAAACTGCTTCAATTGGTACCGCCTACTGCCTGTATTTCAATCTGGAAAGAATAATTCGGGACGAGTCAAAACAACCAATCACAGCCAGAGGAGCGTCTGATGGAGTGTCAATCACAGCTCGTAAACGCTGAATCGCCCCCCCCCCCCCCCCCTTCTGGTCGCATGCGGTAGCCGCGCAGATGCTGTGAGAGGGGTGGAGCTTGGAGGTGGGGCATGAGTGAAGCAGAGAGGGTGGGGGAGTGACGTGAAACCTGTTTTTGTTCAAATTTTCAGTCGAAGTCTGCTCTCTCCTCAATGTTACAGACTGCAGCTTTAAGCTTCGGTAGCAGCCAGATATAAGTAGACCCCAAAGCTTGACATTAGATTTTCATCAACCTGCATCTGTTCAAATTTGCTTTTAACTGCATGATTTGTTCATAACAACCAGTAAAATCTAATTTACAGTTATTTACTTTTATAATAACCAGGTAAATCTCTTATATACAGCACTGAAAACTTTTTTGTCAAAATGTTATTTATAAGAATCTATGTCTACTTATCATATAGTGATAAGTAGAATCTCTAGAGAATGGATTTACCATGGAAGGATCCCCATAATGCGACAGCATCTAACGTCCTGATCACTCTATCAGCACTGTCGGCATAGAATTCTGAAAAATAAAATATTATGTAATTATACCTGTGTATAAATGGTTACGCTCTACTAAATTAAGCTCACATAAAAAGCCAGTCAAAGGAGATTGTATATTTCCTGTTTATACAAGGGTAAGTAAAATTGCTTTGCAAGGTAATTATTTTTAAACTGTGGAAAAACTGTTTAAAATCAATACCTACACTGACACAAAATGTCAAAGCGCTCTGGCAAAACATGCTATATTTTATCATGGACACAGTAATGGTTCTCATTTGATGTTTTATTGACAAGGGTGAGGGGTGTTGCAGACAAGTGGCAGGAGGCAGTTACCTGAGATCAACAGGACTGAGTCCGACAGTTCATGCAGAGTCAGACCCAAACCGGAGTAGCTGACAGCATCCGGCTAGTCTTCAGTAAGGACACAGGATTAGCCGAGGCTTGAATCTGCAGAAAAGACCTGCTGCGAGTAGGGGCCTGTAGTAATAGTCAGACAGAGCTTGGAGATGTCCAGAAGGTCAGGAGTGGCCTGCAGCTGTCCATAAGATCAGGTGTGGCCTGCAGCTGTTTGATCAGAACGTGTCTTACTGGGGCGTTGCCTGCAGATGTCTGTCCACAACATGTCTGACCAGAGGTGCAAATGTGTCCTGCAGCTGCCCTGAGGTACAAACATGGCCTGCAGCTACCCAGAGGTGCAAAAGTGGCCTGCAGCTGCCCAGAGGTGCAAAAGTGGCCTGCAGCTGCCCAGAGGGGCAAACGTGGCCTGCAGCTGCCAAGAGGGGCAAACGTGGCCTGCAGCTGCCAAGAGGGGCAAACGGGGCCTGCAGCTGCCCAGAGGTGCAAATGTGTCCTGCAGCTGCCCTGAGGTGCAAACATGGCCTGCAGCTACCCAGAGGTGCGAACGTGGCCTGCAGCTGCCCAGAAGGTCAGACTTGGCTTTCAGCTGATCAGAAGATCAGAGGTAGCCTGCAACTGCCTAAAAGATCTAACATGGCCAGCAGCTGCACAGATGGTTGTAGCCACAATCTGTTGTGTTTCCAATAAAACTGAATGGCAGAAACAAGTAGAGTAACAGACTTCTGTGAAAACATGCAAGCAGAATGATTATTTTACATTGTGGCAGTAAGTGCAGAGTGAGGCAGGTATGAAAATGGTGAAGTAGGTGGGAAGTCTTGGGGATAATTAGTGGCAGAAGCTGGAGCTAGTTATGGTGCTATCTGGTGGCTGGGAAGTGACTTAAAGAAATGAACTATTGGAATGGGAGTAATTAGTCCAACATAAAAACAATCCATAACACAATACAGGCAAAAACAGCCAACAGAAAATCTCAAAGTTCTTGGTCTGGTCTGACGTCTGTCTTTGGGATATGTTCTGTTTTTTACTGCCCCATTAGCTTTACTAGCCTACCAGGTATATCAGAGGTACTTGGCCACTTAAAATATTTAAAAGTACAATAATAATCTTGATCATATGACTACAAAGATAAAATATGAAGGGGTCCTAAAAACATCTTTAAACCACTTTTTAACAATGGTTATTGACCTGAAAACACTTAGTGAGCTTTCAAAAGTTCCAGGCTTTTGAGCGACAAAGGGAAAGTGTCTCATGACCATCAAAGCAGGTTTTTATCGTTTTGGTAGATTGAGCAACTTCTAAGACCTATTAGGAAATGAACTCAGCTTCTTCCTACAGTTTTTAAACAAAGGAAAAATATTAAAAACTCAAACAATTCCTTGTAGATAGCTGTCGCCAGCTCCACAGATCATCATTCATAATGTTTACTAAGGACCTCAGGCATTTTGGATTATGGGCCTTTCCACTCTTCCTCCAAATTCTGAAACCTTAAATTTCCAAATGAAGTTCAAGATTTACTTTCATCTTGCATACAAAGATATTAGAGTTATAAGCGTAACTGTAAATTGCTAGGTTCTGAGTCCAAAATTATTTACATTTATGGAAATTAGCATCATTTTTTCAAATAAACAGATAATATTGCGATATTTTTCATTTTTGAACTTTAAAAAGATCATTCTTATTTATATGTAATGTGACATGTTTTATAAACTGCTACAAAAGTCAAAGTAAATGTCATTTTCTGTTCGTACATAATAACGTGGTGTAATGCAAATTTTCTTCAAATCTTATCTAAAGCATTTCTGTGATCAGATTGTACAGTTTCTATTTGGATTTAAAGATTTGGAGCAATTATGTAAATTAAATACATTATATATTATTATTATTATTATTATTATTATTATTATTATTATTATTATTATGTATTTTATTAAATACATTATGTACTCTGACATTCATTCATTGCCCTCCAAAAATGTATTTTACATGAAACTATTGACTCCAGTTTGCTCTTGGATGTAAAGTAGTTTTGCATGGCTATAAATCACTGGGTTGCCCTGTGACGGTGACCTTTGCAGGAGACACTCTGTGTCTCACCTGAAGTAATCGTGTACTGAAATGGGATGTAAACATGCAACACATATTCTTTTGAATAGTCTAGTTTTTGTATTGTGTTCCCCAATTAACCATATTTTCTAAGAAACTAAATAGTACAGTGTAAATAACACAATCTTAACTGCATTTAAGACATAAAACAGCTAATTCATACAAGCATTTGCCATGCATCACCTTTAGCTAAAATTTGGTTTCAGACTTTAAATTAACTACTAAGAGTTTCATTTTAAAAATAAACTGACCTAATTTGACTTATTCAGCTCTTTAAAGTTGACATTATTTTTTATTGGGATCTCTGTGAAATACTGTGTTATGTTACTGTAAAACTCATATTAGGTTAATCATGGATGTATTTTGTTTGTGCTATTTAACGGAAATAGAGCATAAGGTAATGTCCTTTATGAGTAATCATTTTATGCATAACCAAAAATAACTGTATGGTATTGTGGCTTTCTGTGTTATTTATATATGTTTTCTGTATGCCTTTAAAGAAACCAGGTGTTTTGTTGTTAAACAGTGTGTCAGACAGTCCTACCAAATAGCACTACACTGTAGGTGTGAAACGTTGCCTGGTTAGATGCAATGTTTGAACTTAATTAAAACCTACTTTAGTTTGTGTCTCATGCTGAGAACCATTTCCTCATTTTTCTCTCAAGTTTGTGGCGCAATAGAAATTCTTCAGAAGATACTCTTCTTTATTTTTCTGTTTCATAAAAGTTGCCATATACCTGGAGATTTCATTGAGATTTGCTACAAAATATAGGGATATTTCTTTCAGATAGAATGCAATCTTCTCACTTCGGCAGCTGCTCTTTGCTCTGTGTCAAATCTTGCTCTCATGTGATACAACATTTTAGGAAATGCAACAAAATAAAAAAACAAATAGCAACAAATATTTTATAGGAAGTCATGTTGAATAGCTTTTACACCAACTGTATGAAATGGGGTTTCACATAACAGTAATAAAAAGGCATTGTGAATTGTTCTGGTAAAAGATCTTAATTAGTGCACAAACTGCATAGTTACTGTTGTCTTTTCATCTTCCCAAACCAGTCAGCCTCTCCTCTGTAAACACCATTCTGTTTTGGACGATTCTCTTTCAGGACAGGATATTATAGTGGGTGAAAATCTTAGTAGTCTAACAGTCTCTAAAACACTCCTACCAGCCCATTTGGCACAAACAACCGTGCCCCTTTTTATCTCTTGTCTTCGTCTCATTAATTAAGACGCCCACATGTACCAAACTGCTTCCATTCAGAAAGCTAATTCACTGATAATTATTTAAGAAATATTTTTCTTCCAGCAGACATGCCTACAGCACTAACCACCTGTTCATCTTTGTGCAAATACCTGAGCAATAACTCTATACTTAAATTCTTTCCTGTCCAAACCCACAGTTGGGGTCTTATCACCTGCAGTGGGGTCTTGTCCCCCACTTCAAGAAGCAATGATGTAGTTAATAGGAAACTACAGTACATGGCCAAATGCTTAATCATGACTGTAAAATCATAACTGAACCATAGGTGCAGAGTTAAAACCACACATGCTATAATACCATAAAAATCAATGTGTGTGTGAAACTGATTGCAGCATTTGTAGCATTGGAGAGCTTAGATTCAATTCACATACATGCCAACAAAGACATATCCAATGTTCATGACTGCAGACAACATACAATCTGTTATTGAGACAGATTTTCGTTTCAGTCCATACAGGAGAATCTTAAATCATCCATGAAATAATAGAGAGGCTGGGGGAGGAGTCTCCCACTGACTTCAACATCCATTCAGCCAAATCTGCAGCAACACTGAACGCGCACAGAAAGGGAGAGGCCAGCAACAAATACAAGAGAGACAAACTGGGGAATACTTTTCCAGCTTTTTAACTGACTTTTGTTTGCATTAAATATATATTAGACGTGAATTGGTTTGTGGTTTGCTGAGGAGGAGGAGAAGGAGGAGGAGAAGGAGGAGGAGGGGTCAGGGTCGGAGATCATTAAGCGCTTGGAGAAAGACGTCGCCCTAAACGCAGCGCGGCAGCACCGCATTCACTAGAAGCTGAAGTGCGTTTAAACGTCCTAAAGTTGCGTCGATTTGGACATGACTTGGTTCTGATTCGCTGCGCAGCTGCCCGGTGGAGACTGCATGCGGAGGGGCTGAACGCCGCATTGTGGAAACCGACACCCGAGGATCGCACCAGCCGCTCTCTGCAAAATGTCATCTCAGGCCAAAGTCAAGAAGGACAAAGAGATTATTGCCGAATACGAGACCCAAGTGAAAGGTGGGTGACAGTCAGTCCCCGCTGCTGTTGTTGTTGGGTTATTTTTTGGTGGAAGATCACCGTTGCATAACTTTACTATAAGCTTTATGTGTCTCAAGTGTGCAATGTGGGGTGGGACAGATGGTTTAGATAAGTTATTTTTCCTTCTTGCCAGAAATTGTCCCTGACATCACATTTCACTGTAACTTTTTCAGATTTAGAGTTTGTATTTGAATTCAAATATGTAAAACCAAAAGATAAAGCAAGCACCTATTCTTGTACTGCAGATGACTCTGCTCTAGACACTTTGCTACAACATGCCTGGCCTTGCATGTGTGGCTATGTAATCAAACCAGGCTAGAGTTTATAATTTATTTATTCTGTGCAAGTTTTGAAATATATGCTTTTTACCAGAGGATCAATTAATCTGCTATAATTTTAGATAACTAAACAACAACTCCTTAAATGACCCCCCATCCATTACAGAAGCTTATCATTGGGATCATATATTTGAAACAGATGGTGATAATCTGTTTCAAATTTGTAATCAAATTTATGTTTTCTTTTTTGCCACATCAGGACACAGTGTGATATGAGAACGAATAAGAGGGAATGCTTGAGAAGGTCACACATCCAACAGTTCAGAAAGTCCATGAATTATGCATGCTGCTGTATGAATTATAAACCAAGAAAGGATTTCACTGTCTGACACTAAATATGTGACTGGATGAACCAGCAGAAAGGGTGAGAGGAGAGTCAGGAACAGAGCAAGCATTGCATGGCAGGCTTGTCTTGGTGCACCGCTCATTGTTGTGGTTTTAATGTAAGTCTTACATTTCCTGCTGCTGTGTCACTTAAGTCTATCTGAACCCATTATAAGCAAGGTTGGGCTTTTTTGTATGCTAACTGATTACTTAGTTTACAAAGCAAACAAACAAACCAACTAGTTGAAATGTAAATTAGTTGTTTTAATGCAAGGTAGGTTAAATGCAGTTTGATCGCAGAAATGTGTGCACCATTAGGCAAAATTTGACGCATGTAACAAATGCAAAGCAAAGAGAGTAATTATCATGCAGGTATGTGTATTTGAATGACAATATATTAAACAATAAAAAAAAAGATGGGCACAGTCATCAACTAGTACTGAACACCCTGGATTTTGCAAGCTTTCCCACTAAGAAATCATGGGGGGGTCTGAAATTGTCATCGTAGGAGCATGTCTACTGTGACAGACATAAATCTTGAAAAAAAAAATCTACAAATCACAATATATGATTTTTTAAAATATGTATTTGTACGATACAGCTCCAAATAAGTATTTGAACACTTGAGAAAAGCAAAGTTAATATTTGGTACAGCAGCCTTTGTTTGCAATTACAGAGGTCAAATGTTTCCTGTAGTTTTTCACCAGGTTTGCTCACACTGCAGGAGGGATATTGGCCCTCTCAAGCACACAGATCTTCTCTAGATCAGTCAGGTTGCTGGGCTGTCGCTAAGAAACGCTGAGTTTGATTTTAGGTCTGGAGACTGACTAGGCCACCCCAGAACCATGATATGCTTCTTCCAGAGCCACTCTTTGGTTATCCTGGCCGTGTGCTGCGGGTCATTGTCATGACGGAAGTTACAGCCTCGACCCATCTTCAATGCTCTAACTGAGGGAAGGAGGTTGGTCCCCAAAATCTCACAATACATGGCTCTGGTCATTCTCTCCTTAATACAGTGCAGTCACCCTGTCCCATGTGCAGAAACACACCCCCAAAGCATGATGCTACCACCCCCATGCTTTACTTTAGATATGGCGTTTTTGGGATGTTACTCATCATTCTTCCTCCAAACGCGGTTAGTGGAATTATGACCAAAAAGTTATATTTTGGTCTCATCTGACTACACAGCTTTCTCCCATGACTTCTCTAGATCATCCAAATGGTCATTGGTAAACTTAAGATGGGCCTTGACATGTGCTGGTTTAAGCAGGAGAACCTTCCCTGTCATGCATGACTTCAAACCAGGACGTGTTAGTGTATTACCAACAGTAACCTTGGAAAGGGTGGTCCCAGCTCTTTTCAGGTCATTGACAAGCTCCTACCTTGTAGTTCTGGGCTGCTTTCTCACCTTTCTTAGGATCACTAACACCCCACAAGGTGAGATCTTGCATAGAGCCCCAGTCTGAGGGAGATTGACAGCCATGTTTAGCTTCTTCCATATTCTAGTGATTGCTCCAACAGTGAAACTTTCTTCACCAAGCTGCTTAGTAATTTCCCTGTAGCCCTTTCCAGCCTTGTGGAGGATTACAATTTTGTCTCTAGTATCTTTGGACAGCTCTTTGGTCTTGGCCATGTTAGTAGTTTGATTCTTACTGATTGAATGGGGTGGACAGGTGTATTCATGCAGCTAACGACCTCAAACAGTTGCATCTAATTTAAGATAGTAAATGGAATGGAGGTGGACACCTATTCATACTGCAAGCCTTAATGCTTGATTCTGATATTTTTTTTTGTGAAATCCAATTTTTTTTTTTTTTTTGCGTTGCCCTCCACATTTCCAAATATATACGACTGGTATGTAATCTCCTGTGTGAAATGCATTCATACAGCTTATTTATCCCGCATCCACAGTAGAGGACACAATGACGTCACAAGCCAGCGTGCTTCGTGTTTACGGAAGTAAACAAGGATGTAGTGCTGGATCGCATCTAGCGATCTTTCCAAACCTTAAAACCTCAATATTTTCAAGATGGTTAAAAAAATACTGCTCTCCGCATCATCGTCCGGCATGGTGTTTTTCCTCTTTGTAGCAAAACACAGAATACTGACCTATGTCGGTTACTAATGGCGTTCAGGTCGGATGAATGCGACCTGGCTGTTCAGACACAGTTCGCATTTGAAAAGATCAGACTGTTTCGGATTCAGGACCACATAGCCAAGTGGCCTGGGTCGGATTGGAAAAAAATTGTTTCTATGTTGTTCAGACTGCCATGAAAAGATCAGATCCAGGTCGCATGTGGGCAAAAAAAAAAAGGATTTGGGTCACTTTAGGGCTGCTGTGTGAACGTAGCCTTAGAAGGCAGACAAACAGGTCTTTGAGGGTCGTAATTCATAAACTAGTGTTCAAATACTTATTTGCAGCTGTATGATACAAATAAATTGTTTTTAAAATAACATTGTGATTTCTGGATTTTTTTTTAGATTATGTCTCTAACAGCGGACATGCACCTACGTATCTTAACAGTAACTATGAAAAATTTACCCTATATATGGCCTAGGGGGGTGATACCTAAGATGTAAGAGAAGTGGCAAAATAGGAGGGTGTTCAAATACTTATTTTCCTCACTGTACATGGGAAAATATCTTACTATTGTTGCTTTATTTCCGAAGTCCTGCTTTTTTTAAATCTTTCTCAGGAGAGTTTCTAAATAAAAAAAGAAGTTGCAAGGATGAACTCATAGCCTCTATTTTTTTTTTCTTTTTTGACAAGCTCCGTTAAAAATGCATTTTTCTTTCTTATTTCCCTGTGTGGATTTACCCAGATGTATTTATATTTAGGATAGCACCTCTAATCTCTTCTTTTTATGCAGGACATCTCTGTTGACTGCTTTTTGTGGGTGAAGCATTAAAAGTTAGGAGTGATTTTTCATATTAATTGAGAGGAATGTATTTAAAGAGTTCAGTGAAACTGTTTTAAAGTTTTATTGAATCAGTATTTTCCAGAGGTGTCAAGTACAAATACTTTGTTACTGTACTTAAGTACACTTTTTAGGTATCTATACTTTACTCAATTACTTATTTTTCTTCCTACTTCTGACTTCTACTCATAATATTTTCACACAAGTATCTGTACTTTCTATTCCTTACATTTTTAAAACAAACATTACTCGTTTCTCTTGGCTTCGGTTTGTTTATAAATATTTATTTCACGTCATGTGCGCCATCCAATGCAGTTCATTGGTGCCATCCACATCTAGTGAAAACTAGTATAATTAGATGAGTCATATAACACTCATTGGTTAGCTAAAGGAAAACATCAGAAGCAATCAGGTCTTCAAACTGCAAATGTGAATTGTCTATGCCATGCTACAATGTCGGATTCAGAAAAAGATTTTTAAATGTCTAAAAGGTCGAACACAGTCGAGACCGTAGATGGAGACCAACAAGACCTCCCTCATCCTTGGCCCCATCTCAAAGAATTTTTCAAAAAAAAATTGAGCCTTCAAATCATATAGTGGCATCTGGCTGTTTTTTTTAAAGGTTACTTTATACTTCAAGTATTTTTTGGAGCACATACTTTTTCACTTTTACTTGAGTAAAGATGTCAAGTTGATACTTCAACTTTTACCAGTGTGTTTTTAAACTGCAGTAAATCAAAAAGTATCAAAAGCACTGATGTCTTTCTGAATCAGTTTTACTGCAAATAGAGTCCCCTGATCTTTCCCTAAGGATCATGATACGTGGATTCAGCATGGTGTTACACTCGAAGAAATTCCACTTATATTCAACATTCCTAGTATGAGCTATATCACCAGTAGACATGGTGACAGCAACTGAAAAACAAATTACAAGATAAATCCCATTTGGATGAAAGATATTACCCTGTTTAAATATTTTGAGATCTTGTGCCACATCTCCTCCTTCTAACATGCATCTTAGATTTAGGGCTGGGCATTAATTGCATCTGCAATATATTTGAGAAAACATTTTTTTTTAATTCACAGCCATTCAGTTTTGATAAATTTGCATTTAACAAAACCTTGATTTTCTTACTCCAGCCTTGTAGGTGACATTAATAAGATTAAAGTGGGCTTGCACCTAGAAAGTAGATACATGCATGCGGGTAGAATTAAGTACTTTTCTGCACAACAGTAAAGTCCTGGGACAATGAGCTCTGGTACATGGGCTTAGTGTATTGGCTGACACTGATCCGATACTACTGTAATTTGAATTAACTGTACAGGTGCTGGTCATAAAATTAGAATATCATGAAAAAGTAGATTGATTTCAGTAATTCCATTTAAAAAGTGAAACTTG